AAAAAGATGATAATCGTGCTGTAGTGAATCACGAATAAAAATAGAAGTGAACCCCATAAAAAAATTTAAAAAAAAAACAAAAAAAAAAAAACGAAAAAACAAAAACAAAAAAACAAAAAAACAACAACATAGCAACAACCCCCAAATATGATTTTTTTTTAAAGCGAGGATTTTTTTAAAACATGAAACATTTACAACGCTGGCACTTTGAAATTTCATTTCAACAGACGAATTTCAATACAAAGCTTGACAGCTTTTAGAATGGATTAACCTTCTGTAATATTAGTCTCATTGAGTGGAAGAAATTAATTTATATATATATATATATATATATATATATATATATATATATATATATATATATCTATATATATATATATATATATATATACTTTATAGAATTCCTGCACAATCGCACTAACATACTTTATGGCAATGGTCTACATAAAAGGGTATGGGGTAAATATGAAAATATTTGGAGGTAATGAGGGGCCCCAGACAGAAAACTTTTTTTTTTGTCCTGGCAACATTGCATCTTTCCGGCGAAACAGAGGAAATCATCCAACATGTTGTAACCAGGACTGCATCGGCTGCTGGCGTAACCTCCTGGTCTTATCGTGAGTAGGCCTCTTTGGTATTATCGCCTTATTTATTATTTTAGGCTAAACAAAATTAATTTAAAAAGAAAGCAATTAATTCCATATCGCATTATCATTAGAGTTTCTATATTGTCGTTGTTTTCTCCGTTTAAATAGCTGAAATGCGTCATTTTAAAATGTAAACACTCTATGATTTTGTCCATTTCAATTTGAGAGGGTCAAATCGGTTCCAACAAATATATTTTGGGGCCGTAGCAAAATTTTTTTTCTTGACCTCTTCGTTAGGGTCTTATTGTACTTTGTATTTTGATTAGTTTAATTATTTATTTTTTAAAAATAAAATAATGTTTTATATTTTAAAGACAAATTCTGTTACATGTTTGAAATCAAGAATTCATCAACTCCATCTGTTTGTTATAAATAAATCAACTTTTATTTGTATAAAAAAATAGACACAGAGATCGGCTTCATGGTACAGGGGCCATTGTGACCCAAGATGGCCGACAGTCGAACCACTGTGTGTTGTTTGAACGTCATCCCTACTGTGTTGCTCTGTGTTAGCAGGATCTAGACGATGGGGTAGCTGGCCATGGTGGCAATGCCGCACTGGTTCTTCTTGTTTCTGGACATCCAGATGTAGCCCTCCTGACCCCAGGACTTGCCCCAACTGAAACGAGGCAATAAAGTTCACGGTCAGCGGTCAAGTTCATAAAAACACATGCGTTAATATGATTCATAGTTTTACGTGGCTGCTGATTTACCCGTTTCCTCCATGTAGGGAGTAAAATAGAAAGTTACGCCTTGAGAATGCATATTAAACAGAGTGGCACACTATGAAGATCATAATCATAAAAAAAAAAAAAAAAAAAAACTTAACAGGACTAGGAACTTAAAATGAATGAAGATACACCAGTAACTTGTCTCGTTTCCTCCATGTAGGGAGTAAAATAGAAAGTTACGCCTTGAGAATGCAAATTAAACAGAGTGGCACACTATGAAAATCATAAACAAAAAAAAAAAAAAAAAAAAAAAAAAACTTAACAGGACTAGGAACTTAAAATGAATGAAGATACACCAGTAACTTGTCTAACTTCGTTTGCCTATTTCATTAACAGTTGCCCTAAATTTATCTAGGTGAGACATCAATCTAATTAGATTATGGTAAAAACTGCCCACTTTAAATTCGATAGCATATCAAATTTTCCTCCGTTATAGTTTCTTTTGATTACGTAATATTGTAGATCTCTCTCTAAGAAAAACTTTGGACTAGACAACGTGTATCGCGCCAGATTTAAGTTATCCGTGATAAGTTTGGGGCAATGATAGGAACTACTTTCACTGATATCATTTTAAGAGTGTGAACTTGAAGAATGATTAGCTTGGTCAAGACTCAATGCAGCTTCTTGCCCTAGATGGCTTCGCTAGTTGGCTGCGCTATTTGGCTGCGCTAGTTGGCTGCGCTAGTTGGCTGCGCTAGTTCGCTGTACTATTTGACCCATATTAGGTATGCTAAAAAACTTAAACCTGCTTTCATATTGTCTTATAACAACTACATCTAGACATGAGAGCATTTCCTGTGGCGTACACACATCACGACTGAAGACATGCCCTGTAGCTGGCTAACGAGATGCTAACGGAAGTTTCAATGATCCACACAAGTCATAAAGCCATCTCATCAAAAAACATAAGCAAACTTCAACATCAAAATGTGAGATCCTAAAAACAGAGTTGAAACGGATGCGACTTGACCAAATGTTTGAAAAACACTATTGGACAACCAAAGATTTGACCGCTGAAGTTTGACCACAAATACTACACAACCAATGCTTTGACCAGTAAGGGCGGTTTCTGATCATACTTTATTGCCAAATGAATGCCGACTGAAGCACTCACACATTCAATAAGTTATACATACAAATGGATCTCAAAGTTGACCTACTCGATTACAAAAGACTTGGCGATAGCGCACGGGAATCTTTATCTTATCACGACAGTAATGTTCGGAGACTGTATCATTTTAACATTGGTGTAAGAACTCTTCAGCTAACGAAACATTTACTTTACTTAGTGGGTCGTACATTTACTTTACTTAGTGGGTCGTTGTACAACACAACTTACGTCATAAACAGTCCGACCCCATTTGTTTGAAATTGTGTTCGTCAAGATAAAGCTTAAGTAACAAGTAGCGAGATAAGGACGAGCCAAATTTAAGATTTGTTAGTACAAGTTTATGCACACAAAAAAAACAACCCTGCTGATCTTTTCTTAATCTAACTGGGTTTTTCCGGGCTCCTCAACCAGGCTCAAGATTCGCATCGCAAGCGTTATACTTAAAAAATAATTTTTAAAAAAATTAATAAAATGTAAAATTAGAAACAATTCTGATAAAATTTGACCAAATTTCATTGGTTTTGACAGATATTTGATATTTTGTTTACCTGTTCTTGACAATCCAGTAGTCATCACTGCCCTTTGTGGCGTAGCCTACAGCCAGAACACCGTGGTCCAGTTGGCTGGTGCTGCAAGCCTTCTCGTTGTAGACACCTCCCTTGTAGAGCTGGAAGGAATCGTGGCTGGCATCGATGGCAACACTGATGGGTCCAATCTGAAGGCAGACAGAAATTTTTTTTTTAGTCATACATGTGTTAACATGTAATCATGCAAAGGTTAAAATTGGGCCCAAGGTTGAAAATGGCACCCCATTATATGTTGCCCGGAGATCCAATCTGAGGGCAGACGGAGAACAAGAAACGTTCAAAAGAAATGTCAGTGTTGACACGGAGGCCGTTCATGGTGCGTCTGAACTCTTCGACGGTCTTGCAAAGTAAATGATAATAAATGGACTGCGTTTAAGGTGTCTGAAGGAAAAAGTAGCACAAGGAATGTAGTAGCTTGAAACGAAAGCAGGATAATAAGAGAAGAACGTTTCGGCCAAGAGCCTTCCTCGGAGACTTGACAAATGCAAGCAAATGGGATAAGAAATAGAAACTAGTTAAAAAAAACAAACTTAATTGTTCGCAATAGTTACTGCCGGAAGTTGTATTTTAATATGAATGTAAGACAATGTCATAAATACTAACATATTACGACGACGTTAACGTTTGAGATTAATCATGTGAAGGAATGACATATTATCTTATATTTAGTAAAAAGTATTAGATACCATTTTTTTGTAACTCCATCTAGCCTCATTCTGTGTGACTCTGTTTGAGGCGCTCGTCAATTCGCTTGACCCTCGTTAAAAAATGCATTACAAGACCATTAGATTCAGCAACACGACACGGCCGTACTTACATTGGCAACAGCCTCTTGAAGGGCGTCCTCGCTTCCGCTGGTGATGTCCTTGTAAGATTTATCGGTGGCACCGACATCGGCCTTCTTGAATCTGCATTTACGGTCCTGTAAGCAATGCAATGTTAGGGCTATTTAAAAAAAAAAAAACATGCAAAGGAAGGGCTACGATTTAATTAATTTTTTTAATTATTTTGTAAAAATTAATGTGCGCAATCTCAATTTTAATTTGGAAATGTCATAAGGTGACTGACCTCTATTCGTCTATTTAGTTATTTATACACATTAATTTATTCATATACCAATTTACGGAATTATTTCAGCCCGCTGGTCTAAAACACCCAAGTGTTCTCACCTCAGGTTTGTAAGGATAGCTGGTTTCGGTATCGATACCTTTGTTGTCAGCGATATATTGGAATCCCTGATCCATGAGTCCACCATTGCAACCCTGGTTACCTGCGAAATAATCGGAGAGAGTGACTTGAAATTCGAGTGAATTTTATAGGTTATGTTTAGAATGGGAAACACGTCATGACATCTGTCGAGTTTACAAAACGTCAACAGAGAGAACATTTCAAAGATAATTTTGGTTTTGCCGCATCAGCTTCCGACACCTACCCCATTTCTGTGAGCAGTCGACGAGGTTGGACTCGGAGAGGCTGGTCAGTTTGCCGGTGGATTTGAAGTTCTGTCCCTCGAGGGAGCCGGTTGTGGAGAAAGCCCAGCACGACCCACATTGGCCTTGGTCCTTGACCTCGGTGACGTAGCCCTTGGTTCTCCAGTCAACGGAGTCTGGGAGGACGCTCTTGTACAGACCGCTGGCAAAGTTGCCAGGGGTCAGGGGCCTGTTGACACGGAGGCCGTTCATGGTGCGTCTGAACTCTTCGACGGTCTGGGAAAGTAGAGAATGGTCATGCATTCAACAAGTGCCAGCGCTTTATTTTGATCAACCCTTTAGGTGCATCCCATGTTCCATTTTTTTCATGGTATCGAATGTTTCATTTTCTTCATGGTATCGAAGATACCACTTGCCATGGTATCGAATGATTCATTGTTATGCTAGTATTTGTATAAATTAACATAAATGAGTAAAATTATAATTAAAAAACAATAGCAAAATTTCTCATTTTGGTCTATCGTTGAGATATGTTAATATAAGCATCTTATTGCACCTAATGTCATAGAGATGCTGCAATGAATAGAACAGAAATAAATCTCATTTAATAACTATTATTAGTTTTAAAAATTTTTGACAATTTCAAAAAGTTAAAATTAAAAAGTTATTTCACGGCGTACTTGCTGAAATTCAATCTTAAAAAACAAAACAAAAAAACTCTAGATATTTAGTATGAAATGAGATGTTTGGGAATAGGTCAAAGGAGATGTTTGGGAATAGGTCAAAGGACATCCGCATAATTTACAAATTTAATCAAATAGCCAGTTAAAATTGTGTGTTATTTTTGACAACTCCCCACCCCCCCTCCACCCCCACCCCCCCATAAATTTTTTAAAAAGTAAAAAAAAAAAGTATTTTAAACATTCTTAAAATTACAAAAAAAAACACAAAAACTTGGTCCATGAACTGAAAGATGCCGTTAAGTAAAAAAGAAAAGATGCCTAACTTTGAGTTTGGGCTCTTTTGGTATTCTGTGTAAGTTAATGATGGGTGCAGTGTTTGTGGGGCGTGATGGTGCAAATGTTATATCCCCCTCTCTATAATCATACTCTCTTTCTCTCTCTCTCTCTCTCTCTCTCTCTCTCTCTCTCTCTTTCTCTCTCTCTCTCTCTCTGTCCCTGCCAATCCCACACACTCTCTCTCCCCCAACAGTCCCAACACATTACCATGTCGGCGTATTTGTTCTCCCCAAGGTAGTAAGTCTCGAGTCCCTGGGCGTAACGCTCGTTGTGGGCTTCGATCTTCTGGAGGTTGGATTGCCAGATGAACCTCCTGATGACGTCCTCATCCCCGTGGTAGGTCTTGTTGTGCTGGGACTTGAACACCACCCAGTTGGCTTCGGTGCTGGCGGCGGCCACGGCGACGACGAGAGCGAGGATAGCGAGTTTCAACATCTGCGAGAGAAGATGACGATTACACTTCACATACGGTTAGGTTTATATTTTTGTTGTATAAGAAACCAAGGGTACACGACATTAGAACAGTTTTCTCTCAGATGGAGTTCTGTTGGGTTTATTATTATTTTTTTCGATGACAAGAACATTGTTATCTGTTTGTTATTGTCTTATTGTTTTACTTTAATCGTTATGTTTCGTAGTTTAATACTTTTTCTCGGTACACGATCAGTGGAAAATGCGTGTACTTTTAAAAAAAAAATAAATTATATTTCATTGCTGATTGATATTTTCAGTCTGCACTCCATAGTTACTTAAATTAAAGATAAGTGGGGGAAAAAAAAAAATTAGATCTTCAAAACTTTAGGAGTAGCACCTGATTTCCACACATCCTTTGTCCGCCGCGTTATTGACAACTTTTTTGAGGACAAAGTTACCAAGATCCTTCTAGTTTTTCGTTTTTATCCCCAGTTTTTTTTTGTTGTCGTAAAACCGTGCAAACTAATTGGTGTGCGCTCCTATTGTGGAACCGTACGATGCGCCTAGTACGTCACTGTCATGTCTAGGCTAAAAGCTGACACTCTTTGCTACAACTTCTTCGTGTATAGCGTCATCATCTTAACCAGTGATTATTTCAGAAATTTTTTCCCCGGGGATGGGGGGGGCACTTCAGATTTTTCGGGGGGGGGGCAGTGCTAGCAGTGCCAGTTGATTTATTGTTGGACATATTTTTGCTCCGCGGTGGGGGGCACTTGGCTTTCCCCCGGGGGGGGCAGTGCCCCCCGGAGATATAGCTGAAAGAAACCCCGATCTTAACTCATTTAGCTATGGCGTCATGGAGGATTTTTTTTTGTTTTTCGTTTTCTTTTTCCTTTTCAAGATAACTAAGAATTTTTTTTTTTGGGGGGCACTTGGCTTTCCATCCGGGGGGGGGGCAGTGCCCCCCGGAGATATAGCTGAAAGAAACCCCGATCTTAACTCATTTAGCTATGGCGTCATGGAGGATTTTTTTTTGTTTTTCGTTTTCTTTTTCATTTTCAAGATAACTAAGAATTTTTTTTTGCACCTACAATAGAGGCAGATGTTTCAAGTGATAACAGCAATCCATGGACAATATAACGGTTAATTATCGGTGTACTCTTGATGGCTAAATGAAATATATTGAGGGGATTCTTATTTATCTTAGATTTGGTAGTCTCTACAAGTCACTCTGTTATTTAGTCTAAAGGAATGTTAAAAGAGAAACAATTGTTTTCAAAATATGGGTGATGTCATGGGTCAAAATCTTGAGATCTACTGTTTTTCGATGGTACGAATTGTGTATGTGTCAAGTGTAAGTGTTATCGCTGTTGTCGACTGGCACACTTCACTAGGTTATTCTGGGCATTCGGTTGCCATAATTAGGTCACCCGATTCTCGTAGAGGCAGTGTCGGCGCATGAAAGTTGCAAATTGTAGTGGGAATCTTATCTCATAAATGAATCTAAAAGGTTCATTAGATTTTTCTTGCTTCTCAATATAGAAAACAGAATGCATGCTATATACTGGAACACATTGTTGCTTTGAGTCCAATACATTTGGTTATTCAAGGATTTTAAAAAAAATATGTTTCAAGAGGCAAGAGGTGTTACTCTAGGCAGCTAATAATCTAGATGTCATTGCCTTCTCACAGCCAAAATTTAACGAATGATCTTCAAGCCATTGAACTCCCCCGATGACTCGTGTCATAAATGTGTCAACAACAACGATTGTAACGTCCAACCCATTGAATTAAACTGCCCTTCATCTAATGATTTGATCTTTTGCAGGGTATCGGTCCTGGGCAGCAAGGCGCTGACCATGTCTGCATCAGCTTATGTTTTCGGAGATGCGCAATTTAAAAAAAAATTTTTTTTTTTAATGGGGATCAGTTTTTCAGACGGCAGTTGTAAGACGAAGAACCTTGCCAGCATAAGTAAACAGTGTGTCGATTCATTTGGTACACCTATTGGTCCTAGTTTGTTTCGGTATACGGGTTTGGGCGGGTGACAATATCAATAAGATTGATGTCTATCGTGTGGACGTGAGAGGGATTTCTATACATGGCTAGAGCTCTCTATATCTCTAGCTTGCAGGATTTCAGTTTTATATATACTTTGCGTAGCGAGTTCATAGATTAATTTAACTAACTAAATGAGCTGCTCTATAAAAGTATACAGAAAACAACACCCTTTCAATTATATACTTATATTTTTTAACTTAAAATGAGCAGCTGGACGCATTTTAACCCCCCCCTCCCCCCGAGCCCAGACTCCAGGCCCTCCTAAAGTTTTGATACACGTCTATGTATCACGTGTGCCGAATGGTATTGGCAGCTGTATTGGAATCTGTTCCCATTATTATGTCATTGAAATAAAAAAAAAAATTCTCTAACAAATAAAATGACGGTTATGTCAAACAGCATTTTAACAATCTAAAAGCTGTAGTTTGCATAAAGAGATGTCCTATCCTTATTTGCTATGTCCAAGAAAGGATCAAAGTCATTACTTGAGATCATAAAGTAATATTTTTGAAAAAAAACATTAATAAGCTTGTACTTTGAAACTAGAGTTTATACTTTCAGGTATTGAGCCACGGTCTTACCTTGGTGAAGTTTTCCCTCAAGTGAAGAACTGCTTGGAAAGAGCTGGTTATTTATCCTGCGCTGCCTGGGTCATGTGAAGTGTGGCCACGTGATAGTGCAATGGTCATGTGTTGATTAAAGGAAAAGAGAAAAAAAAACAAGTCACAATGGAAATGACAAGCGTTTATTATTATGATTATCTTTTACTTTTTATAAACTGGACCAGCAGTGTAATTAGAACTACGGTAAACATACTAATTAACAACTAACAGTTTTTCCAACATGGATGACTTCATTATCTCGGTTGATAACGCGATACTAAGGTGTTTAGAGGAAGGGTGCATGTTTTCAACTCATGACATACAAACACATTTTACCAAAAATTTATAATCCTCCCGTGCAAGCAATATTTTTTCCTCCAGACAATTTGTGACATATGAATTAGTCCAATGGTGTTAAGGGTCTGCGAACTATATGATCCACCCATCTAACGGTCTATAAACCGTGTGGCTCACCGTTCTTACCGTCTATACACCATGAGGTCCAACCATCTCACAGTCTATAAAACATGTGTTCTACCCATCCCACGCTCTCTAAACCTTGTGGTCCGCCCATCTCTATAAACCATGTGGTCCACCCATCTGACAAACTATATAATCCATGAGGCTTATCCATCTCGCAATCTATAAATCATATTAACCATCCATCGCACAGCCACTGTACCATTTGGCCCACCAATCTCACTGTCAGTATAATATGTTTCACGGCATGTCACTAAATGTTATATTGAATAAAAAATCTAAGAACTGAATTCATAAAGGGACTTTGAAAATATTATTTTATTTAGTATAATTAAAATTGAACGGATTTTTGACGTCTGAAATAATTAGCCAGTCTATTATTAAATCATTTGCATTAAATTCGCCTGTGTGTGATTAGGGCACAATTTTCCGACGGCTAATTGATCCCCTTCCCGTCAGCCTATCGAGCTGAAACTCGGCAACATATTCTATCAATTTTTCAGCCCCACCCCGAAAATTAGTGTTTCATGCTTTTAAAGTGGAAGATGAAGGAAATATATGATGAAACTGATTTCATCAATTAAAATTTCCCGACAACTTCGCTAATTGAGATTCTTTTTAAACAAAATATCGCCAGTGCGTTTGGTGCGTAATTTTTTCTTTTGTTTTTTCTGAAATACTTGGTGAAATAAATCTGCAGTGGAAAAGTGAGATGGTGATTAGAAAATTAATGTAGTTCAGGGGCGTGGAAAAAAACGCGCGGTTGCGAGCCTTGAGAAAGGGGGGGGGGAGCACTAAGCACTCATTCTTGTAAGTGCCTTACTCGTAAGCATTTTTTGTTGTCAAATTTTCGCCCCCCCCCCCCCTTTTTCATTTTTTTTGGGGGGGGGGGGAACACCAAGACCTCATTCTTGTTAGTGCCTTTATCGTAAACATTTTTTTTTGTCAAATTTTCGCCCCCCCCCCCCCTTTTTCCATTTTTTAATATTACATTTTATAAAGGATTTATACCAAAAACTTTGTATTTAACGGTTGTTGATCTCTTCACGGCCAAGTCTTCCAATGACGCACGCCAAGGTGAGTCTTCCAATGACGCACGCCAAGGTAAGTCTTCCAATGACGCACGCCAAGGCTCTCAGCTCGGGCGTCACTTGTTGAGATCAAAATAAAAAATAAAAAAATCAATTAAAAAAAAAATTAAAACATTGTTACTCGAACTGTTGCATATTTACAGTAATCAATGGACTGTCCGGTTTAGTGAATATTTGAAACAAAGCAAAATGGTAACAGGATTAGTACAAGTTTAAAGTCTCCTATCTTTCGGTCTGGGAAAGGGGGGGGATATGTCAGCGGTGGGGGTGGGTGGGGTGATAAGATAAAAAAACAAAACTGGTCCGGTGTAAGGGATTATGAAGTGCAGCGTCATTAGCATGTACATAATGATATTGACATGTACACAATGATATTGACATGAACATAATGATATTGACATATACATGATATTGACATGTACATAATGATATTGACATGTACACAATGATATTGGCATGTACATAATGATATTGACATGTACACAATGATATTGACATGTACACAATGATATTGACATGTACACAATGATCCACAGTTGTACAAAATTGCAGTTTGTGTGTGTCGTACTGACAAAGTAGCCTTGCACCACTTACATGATATTGACATGTACATAATGATATTGACATGTACACAATGATATTGGCATGTACATAATGATATTGACATGTACACAATGATATTGACATGTACACAATGATATTGACATGTACACAATGATATTGACATGTACACAATGATCCACAGTTGTACAAAATTGCAGTTTGTGTGTGTCGTACTGACAAAGTAGCCTTGCACCACTAACACAGTATGGCGATGAATATTGAATACTTTTATAGCGCTTGTGTCCATTTTATTTTAGAATGCTCACATCGCTCTGAAGTCCTAAAGTCTTTATAAACCATGTGACCACTAACAAAGTAGCCTTGCACCACTTAAAAAGTAGCTTTGCGCCACTAACAAAGTAGCCTTGCACCACTAACAAAGTAGCCTTGCACCACTTAAAAAGTAGCTTTGCGCCATAACAAAGTAGCCTTGCACCACTAACAAAGTAGCCTTGCACCACTTAAAAAGTAGCTTTGCGCCATAACAAAGTAGCCTTGCGCCACTATTATTATTTGTGTTGATCGGTAAAGTCAAGGGTGAGGTCAACGTTCAGAGAGAGAAAGAAATTTCTCCAGATGTCTAATGGTTAAGAGTGCGGGTCCTCCAATCACAGACAATGCCATTGTTTGGACGACTTTAAGAATAATATGCATTCGTTATATATCAAAACTGCTTTGGGGGGGGATCATTTCAGATGTAAATAACCTTAAGTATTTCAGCTATAGAAACACATCTCTTTACCCCTCTGTAAGGCACACTGGTCCAGCCAATTACAGAAAATCAGTCAGACTTTTTGTAAATTTTATTATAGTTCATTTTGCTTACATTAGTTAAAATATGTAATCAAATGTCAACGGATTAAAATAGGTAAAAAAAAAGCCAACTTTTAACTTAAGATCAGTTATCAAATAGAAAATCCCAAGTCAATAGGGCCATGCAGGTGAAATTGGCTCATAGACGTTAAATATGATATTGAATGTCAAATTCTTAATTATATGTCAAGCGTGTTATCATAGGTTAAAATAAGTGCCCTCTAGGTCACATGGGTTATTAAAGGGATCGGTCAGATGCACTGAGAGGAAATTTCTAGCAATAAATGATCTTTTTTTTCATTATACCTCAATCACATTTCAACATTTACTCTGTATTAAAAAAAACAATAACTGCCTAGTAGGCATTACATCTGTAGAAGTCAACACGTGAAAGAAGACACAATCTTATTCACATCATTGTCCGGATGCGGCCTTCAATAGTCTGTGTTTTTTTTGTTTTTGTTTTTTTTTTAATTAAGGCATTAATTTTTTGGGGTAAAATGACAGAAGTGATCTGCATGATGTAACTGTCTGAACAAAGATTCAGTCAAGAACTTTAAAGTAAATTCTAAGCTGTAAGACGATGCTTGTGTTATGACGCTGTAATATGACGCTGTGATATGACGCTGTAATATGACGGTATCATATGATGCTGTAATATGACGCGTGTAATATGACGCTGGATGCAATGCTGTGATATGACGCTGTAATGTGGCACTGTAATGTGATGCTGTAATGTGACACTTGAAACATGACGCTGTTGAGCAGTAAAACAATTTTTTTTAAAATTGGCTATTTTCTTTAAGATATGAGCCAAGAGTATTAATGAAAACTAGGACAATGGGCGAGAGGACGTGGTTCTTGATTGTCACAAAATACTTATTCACCAAGTGGGGGAGTATAAACATATCAGTGATGCATTGAATAAGAATCTGGTTGTTTTTTTTGTGTTTTTTTTGTGTGTATTATATTCTTTATCACCATACGATTATTCCGTTATAATTAAAAAATAATAATTTTGATATAATTCCTATATTATATTGTAATATATTATGGTCTTGGTAAACGATTCGTTTTATGACATACCCCCCCCCCCCCTAATTCTAAACTCTTCATTGAAATGGGATATTCTGAAGTTGGGATATTCTGAAGTTGGGATATTCTGAAGTTGGGATATTCTGAAGTTGGGATATTCTGAAGTTGGGATATTCTGAAGTTGGGATGTTCTGAAGTTGGGATATTCTGAAGTTGGGATGTTGTGTGTCTATATCACACGATTTTTCTCTATTAGTCCCAACTAGAATCATTTGATTGCGTAGTAATCTGTATTCGCATGCTACAGCATAAAATCCTGAAAGGGTGCGTTTTAATCTCTCTACCAAGATACATTGAGAATTTTCGCACGCCATTTCATTTAGCCGTCTAGCTTAGTGGTGTCCGGCGCCTTTGGCCAGCCGTGTGTCAGCCTGGGTGTACACAACACAGTTTAGTCATTTGAAATGAAAGGAGCCAACGATAGCATAGTCTACTGTTGATACAACAATTTGTCTCTCTCTCCACCAAAAGAAAATGAAATCGATACTGTTTGATGAAGATGTCCAACTACTTTTGGCGGGCTACAGATAGTGAAATAAAGAAATGGATATTCTACATAGAAAAAAAAGTATTTTTCTTCATAATTGCTAATGAAAAACGAAATTTAAAACAAAAATAGATTGACCGAGTAGGTGGTAGACGAAATGAGAATGGCATTTCGTACCATCTACAGGTTATGAAAGGATAATGACCTTAAAACTTAATGCCCTAGGAATAGGGGAGTGAAGGGGCGCCCCGGAGGCAATTATTTTTGTTATTTATATGGAGGGGTGGCACTTTTGGCCAGAGTTTTTTTCTTGCTTTTTCTTGTCATGAAAAGGGGCGGAAAAATTCTTGGTTACCGCGAAGCTGATACATAATTAGATCCGTCCCCAGAAGGGTGAAGCTAATACAGAATGAGATCCGTCCCCAAAAAGGGCGAAGCTGATATAGAATAAGATCCGTCTAAAAAATGCCGAAGCTGATACAGGATGAGCTCCACCTCCAAAAAGGGCGAAGCTGATACAGAATAAGATCCGTCTCCAAAAAGGATGAAGCTGATTCAGAATGAGATCCGTCTCCGAAAAGGGTGAAGCTGATACAGGATGAGATCCGCCTCCAAAAAGGACGAAGCTGATACAGAATGAGATCCGTCTCCAAAAAGGGTGAAGCTCATACAGGATGAGATCCCTCCCCAAAAAGGGCAATGGCTGAACCTCTGTGGTATCAATTTTTACACTATAAAAAAAAAAGTTGGAAAAACCCTTCTTTCGTTCCAGTTTGTTGTCTACGGTTGGGGTTTTTCTGTGCTTCAGCCTGTCACGACTTGAACAGGTGCTGCTTTCACTAGCTTCACAACAAAACTCTGCGCCCTAAATAGATTGGTATCTGTAGAGTCCCTGATTGAATTGTTGGACGGTTCATTCAGAAAAAAAACAACAACACAAAAAACAACTCAAAGATCTAAAACCTCAATGACAAACCTTCATGGTGGAATAAACAAAAACTATTGTTTTGCCATCCACCGATTTCAGTGGAAGTAAATCGCGTAGTAATATTTCCAAGGTCAAATTTGGTTGTTACAAAAAAAAAAAAAATTACTTCCTCGGCAACGTGAATTAGACGCATCATGTAAGGTTATTGTTTTACTCTGATAACAACAAACGCTAGTGTTATTAAATATTTTTGAACACGAGAAATACCCATTCTAAGATACGGACAGACTGGATAAAATATTAAGCGATATAAACACGAGCTTACGACATTTAAAAAAAAGGGGGGGGGGGGAAAGGGGAAAAAACAAATTAAAAATAAAAAAAAAAAAAAAAAAAAAAGGGGGGGGGGTAAGGGGCAAATAAAAATTCAAATTGAAAAAAAAAAAATCATAAATTTGAATTATTATTGAAACCAACTCGATAAAAAGTTAAATATTTTTGTAAGCCTACCCATAAAATTGGATATATTTTCTAGACTAATGTTAAAAAAAAAGGGGGGGGGGGTAAGGGGAAAATAAAAAATCAAAATGAAAAAAAAAAAAAATCATAAATTTGAATTATTATTGAAACCAACTCGATAAAAAGTTAAATATTTTTGTAAGCCTACCCATAAAATTGGATATATTTTCTAGACTAATGTTGTGCAGCATAAAACGACCTATTATTATCAATACAGATTAATACGATCTATTGTTGACAACATAATAAGACCTATTGCTATCAACACAATACGACCAGTTGTTATAAAACATAATAAAACCTATGGTTATCAACATAAATTCAATCTTTTTGTTATCAACATAATAAGACCTATTGTTGTCCACATAATTCAACCTATTGTTATCCACATAATTCAACCTATTGTTATCCACATAATTCAACCTATTGTTATCCACATAATTCAATCTATTGCTATCACCTACCAGTGAAATTTGATTTGAATTCTAATAGCTCTAAAAACTTAAAGCAAACGATACCAATAGTTCATAAATTATTTGGAATAAAAAATAAAAAATTAAAAGCTCTAAATTAACCGCCCGTTCAAATTATGATTTGAAAAAGAGTCATGTAAGTGTTTATTTCTTTAAAAAAAAATAATCTCACAATAATCCTTCCATCGCATAACTACACTAAGCATTTCCGGTCCCAGAAAAGCCTACTCTTTACTGGTCATTAAGCTAGCGTGCAATCTATTTGAATGGGGCTCAGTCCGAAATTCACCATGAACAATTTTGAACAAACGACACACATATCCCAGGGCTTTTTTTCTTTTCTTTTAAGGGCTTGAAGTAGTTTTACAATATTTAATACTCTTTTTTTTTCGAACAGGCGTAGGCAGCATCAGTGGCGTAGCTAGGGCGGAGCGGGGGTGCGGACCACACCATCTCAGGGGGGGGGTGACACCGTCCCTCACTCACCCCCGAAAACAAATTACAAAATAATCTTTAAGTATTATATCAAAATCATAATGATTATATTTTACATGTATTACCAGGGCCGTGCGAAGGAAAAGTTGAGCCCAGGGAGAGGCAAAGCCTAAAAATGACTTTGACTATTATTTTTTTCAAATATTTTAAAATCCGTAAAATTAGAATGATTTTTTTACACCACATGATGTTGCCCGATAATGTCACTTCATCCCCCCCCCTCCCCCGGCCCATCCCCTCCCTTTCGCTTGGGAGTCTTCATCGCCTTCGAGATCTGCTTCCCTCTTGTGACCATAATGGCAAACCCAAATACCTCTGCTACGAGGCAAAGAGCAGTGTTGTCAAACATTAAACATTCGTACAAAATTGAGGACAGTCGGTCAAAATTTGACAAGCAAAGAACTTGCCCAGAAAACTACGTAAGAGCTTTAGGCGGTTACTTAATGCAGCATTTCCTCAATGCTTTTACTTTTGTACGGGGGGGGGGGGGGGGGGGGGGCGGGGGGGAAGGGATACACCCCAGTATCCGTGGTTTCCTTTTGATTGCTTCAAAAAATGTATTGGCTAATCATAATCAGTCGAAATTAAATACTGATGAGAATGTCATACTATAAATTAACGCTACACATAGGCGCGGCACAGGGGATACAACTAAATATTTATTGATAAAGACGTAGCCATGCATTTTTTTTTTGCTGCTCCATATTTAAAAAAAAAAAAATCTATGTTAAGAAACGTGTCAATAAAAAATTGTTTGTCGAAAAAAAATTGTGAAGATTGAAAACTATTTGTCACTATATTTTGTTATTTTGATTTGGCAACACTAATGTAAAGACAGGTTTAATACTGTTTTATCTGAATTATCGCCACCAAGAATAGAAGTAGGTTTATTACGGATAATCATTTTTTTTTATTATGATCAAAGACAACAAGAAAACGAAGAAAAACACCTTTAAAATATAATATAAACATTATATGTTTTATTAACGGTGAAGATGTTGCGTTATTTTTCCTCTAGGCTCTAGGTGCTCCCGAACTTGTTTCGCTCATTTCCACTATTCTATATTATTAAGTTTTGTTTAGTGTAGTCACGTTTATTATTTTTGTTGTTGTTGTTGTTGATATTTTGAATATTATGAATATTCAGTTAGATATAAGTAATTTTATGTAGCGTACCAAAATCTTTAGGGCTTCTTAAGGCCACTAATGTTGAACACTGAGTAAGACATCGTTTGTTACCTATAATTCTTACTTTATCTAATCTTAAATATATATTTTAATCATATATTCATAAATTTATTTTATAAACTCACAAATTTCATTGATTACACATTGTTATAGTTCTTGTGATCTTCATTTAAAAGGATAATTTATCCTCAACCTAGTGCTATGTTATTGCAGCTTTTTTTAGTATTCCCACTATTCACAATAGCAACATCATATCCCCAACCTTTGCAAAGATGCCAGTACATGAATGCAGCAACGAAACATTACCAGAACCAGAACCAGAGCCACAAAAGCGCAATTTTATACCTAATTCCTCAAGCTATAAAAAGTAGGTAAACTGCGTGATCACAATAAGTTAAAGTGGTTCAATTTTACTGACCAGAAATACTTTAAAATGAATTAAATGCGAATACAAATTTGGTAAATCAGGACCAGTAATGCTGGCTTCCCCATAATTATTTTAAAAGAGTAAATTCCCTTGTGTCCGGAAGTGTTATGTTTATGTCATATGATTAAAACATTTTGACATTCGTTAACATTTTGTTTCTTTTTTTGGCGAATTCCAGGCAAATTTTACTGTTTAACCATGGCAGCCTGCCCTTGTCTGGGACCAAAATGCTCAATATATTACATGATTATTAGCATTTGGGGTATTATCATGCTGGTAAGTAAAATAACTTAAAATGGAAGTAAGTAGCCGTAGGGCTTACTTCAAGTTAGTGAGGGTCTACAGTACTCTACAGTCTACACTCAACTCACCACACTAAAAGCTAAGAAAGTTAAGTTAGTAAGTTCGAACTCTAGGCCTAGACCTCTCCTCGTCTTACTCTAATCTCACTCTAGTTGACTTAGTTGTAAATGTGAAAAAAATGTAGTCATTGACAATGAATTGAATGGCATTCCATGTAATTTACTGCAGGCTAGTCCAAACTTAAAATCAATCTAACTTAATACTTAATTCAAGTTAGTCTAGTTATAATCCAAGTTCTCAATTGAATAAAATTATTTTCTCCTAAGTTAATGACCCAAGACCTAAATTAAATGATAATGAGGAATAATACCTAATTAAATATAAATAACCAATACCAAGTAAAACGGTCAAAATTAATCTCTTTGTTAAGTTCAAATAGTAATATCCAAGAGAAAATTGCTGGTAAAAGTGCAGTTCAGGTGCGTATATTATTTCTTAACGCATTTTGTATTTTATCATGTAAACTTACGTGTATTCTTGATTAATTAAATCCAGGCAGTTATAGTTAACTAATACTGACGTATACAGCACTTTTTTTCTTTTTATTTGATTTCTAAATCGTCTTTACACCCCCAACCAAAGACGCATAGCCCCATTTGCTTTGTAAATAAACATTTTTTTAGACGGAAGGATGCCATACATATATATATATAGCTAACATCTAAATTAATTAGTCTGTAAAAACACATAAATATTTAAAAAAAAAAAAATTTCTCTTCTCCCAATAAAAAACTAATAAAATACAATCCGAAATGCATCCCGATCCCCCGTGGTATCCCTTCCCAGTTTTGATCCCATTCTCCAGTATGGGATCACTTCAGTTTGATCCCGATACAATAGGATCCCGTTTCCCAAAATCATCCTGTTTCCCCATTGGGATCCAAACACATGGGATCTCTATCCCAATGGAATCCAATTTCCCGGTGGGAACCTGAACCCAGTGGGATCCAGTTTTCCAGATGGAATCCCATACCTGTAGAGATCCTGTTCTTGGTTGGATCTTTATTTTCAATGGGATATCTATTTCCGGTAGCATCTCTATTTCCAGTGGGATCCCGTTCCCTGGTGGGGGTCATGCTCTCCGGTGGGATCCCATTCCCTAATGACCCTTATGATCGGCATTTCGCATGCTCCCACCACCCTTTGTTCTCTCAGTGCTCCAAAAAAATGTACCGATAGTCCCTTGAAGTTGAAGCCTTGGTTTGGGGAAAGAGGGGGGAGGGATTAGAAATGGATTAACGACCAAGGCACTGACTGAACACACTCATTTCCTGAAGTGGAGCTTTAAAAAAAAAGGGGGGGGGGGGCTTCCACAAAGAATTTGTGCCAATGTGTGATCATGTGTTCAATTTGTTTTAAAAATTTGTGACGATGCAGAAATGGGGGAAATCGGCCTTGATAGCGTGGGGTCATTTATTGGTTGCCATCTCAAAATGGTAAGCAAATACGTTGTCCGTTAGGTGTTAGGGTTAGGCTAGTGATTATATATAATGAAACGGACTAATTTTGCGCTCAGGACAACCAAGATTATTACTATTAGAGCCACAATAATTACTGTAGGTATATGTTCTAGGTTATAGTTATTTTGGTTTCAGCCGAAAGTCTCTTAAAGGTTTTGGTTTCGGACGATATAAAAAAATCACTTTCGGTCGGTCTCTAGATGCAGCACTACGGACTGCACTTTTACCCCTTTTTTGTACGACGTGAACGTATCCAAATATGAAGGGAAAAGATCGCAGCCTCTGCCCTCTCCAGGTTACTATTAACGTACATCAATAGAGAATAGATGTTACAACGTTATCAGTATGGAGAATTTAATCTCTTATTCAAGTGTATGGCTTGTTCTAAAACAGTACACAACAAAAGACATACAAAATAATAACAATAACAAAGAATACGATACTCAAACCATTTTTAGTCTTGTCATTTTTTTAATAATCCTCTCGGTGGCCATGTTTCTCAGTATTGCAGAATTACTTATACTTATATACATTTCATAAAGTTAAAATTCTAAAAATTAAATACTAGATTTTCATTACGCACGGGCGCCCCCTTCCACGTCCCCACCCCACCTTCTTTGTTTTCCCTCTCAGAGCGCTCGGAAAATAAGGGTTGTCCCTTGAAGTCTTGGGGGGGGGGAGGTAGAAGATGATCACCAACTAAGGCAGCGGACACAAGTCATCATTGTCCTGGAGTGAAGCTGAAAATCGGAAAGGGAGGGGCGGGTCCACGAATACGGTACGTGCCAATGTGTGATCACGTGTCCACTTTAAAAAAAATAAATATTTATGATGTTCCAGAAATGGGGGGAATGGGAATGATAGCTGGTGTCATTTATTGATAGTCATCTCATACTGATGGCTGCAAATACATTGTCCGTGATTGGTCAGCTCTAATTTGAGCACCCCCTCCCATTTTTCCGTATGCAAATGCGCTTATTAATGGTGACTGATTTGAGCTGTGTAAAATGAGGGTGAGGGCTAGTGATTAGTCCGTTTTGCGGCATTGCTGGTAGTGGGATCATTTTGTTAAAAATGGCAGGACGACCAAGCAACAATAATTGAAATTGTTGATCCAACGGAAATTTTTATCATTTGGTTTATACGCGCACTTTTTGAGGCAACAAATAACGTTAATACAACTATGGAATTGTTGGTAAGGCGCTGGTGACAATTGCAATGTGGCTTGTAAACTGGCTACATATGTCAAGTAAGTGAGCTCCCTATAATTACAGGATCTGGATCTCACAGGAAACGGGAACTCATCGTAACCGGTATGCCACGGGGATCGGGAACCCACTGGATCGGGAACCCACCGGGATCAGGATCTCACTGGGATCAATATCCTATCAGAATCTCACCGGAAACGGGATCTGATTGGAATCAAAATCCCACCGGGATCGGGATCCCACCATGACCAGGATTCTACCGAAATCTGGATCCCATCGGGATCCCATCATGATCATTCCGAGTGCCATCGGAAAACGGGAAAAAGTGTTTTTATGGGAGACAAATTAATTATTTTTTTTTACTATAGAGCTGTTGTTTTGTTGTTGATATTTCGCTTAATAGCAATGTGAATTAAAATGACGTAGCAGATGTTTTTTTCTCTGAATGCAATCCTGAGCAACATTTATTTTAACCAAGATTAATCCAACTGGGCAACTTTTATAACGTATCTTTAAAGACAGAAGAGTTATCCATGATTTACCACAATGGCTCTGTAAAAGACGAAAGATTCAAGAAAATGTACTATTTTTTATCTCGTAAAATTTGTTAAATTGTTGTTGTATTCCAATAAAAAGATGGTATTTTAGTTTTAAAATACTTTTTCTAAACAATACACGTAAGGTTACATGATAAAATACGAAATGCGTTAAGAAATAATATACGCACCTGAACTGCACTTTTACCAAATTGCTTTTACAACTTAGGAAATGAGCAAAACAAAGTATTGGACAACCTGAAAAAAATAAAAAAACACAAAACAAAAATGCTTTGGCTAGAAAACTTCCTCATTGAACAAACAGTTTAAATACAATGTAAATAAGGCAGTGTCTACACGTCCGGCGCAGCGGACGTATATCTCCAGCACTATTTGTCCAGCGACCAAGTCACATGACCGCCGTAACAAAGTGGCGAGAGATACTTGTCGGTCAACCTTGGTCACATGACCGCGAATGATTCAAAGCTGTTGTTAATTTTAAAATCTATTTCTCTACCAAGTAATGTACTGAGTATCTTGAATGCAAATAATAGAAAAAAACTTAAGTGAAAGTGGCTTGTAAACATTTTTGTTTAGTTTATTATTTGAGTTTGTGTACCAGTAATCCATAAAATAAATTAGGGGCCAGTATGGAGTAGGCAACCAATAAAAGTAAAAGATTTCATTTTAAATTGTTTAAATTGCTACAAAATATTTAAAAACTTCTCATAAAGCTACTGTTGCTGATAAACATGATAATATAAATATATTATAAAATATTTTAATTAAAATGTGGAGAAAAAAAAACGATCACATACTGGGAATTGATCCTCAAATATAATAACGTCAAGTAACCACTCTACCACAAGGCCACACAGGATCTTCCAGATAGCACTTCGATCGGAATAATAACAACTACTAGTCGTCCGGCGGTCATGTGACATGCCGCCGGACGTATATCTCGCACACTATTTGTACGGCGCGCCGGACGTGTAGACACTTCGTAAAAATAAAAAACAATTTCATGCAATGTAATCTCAGAGAGGACAACAAGAGGAATGTGGCAGAACCTAAGTAGGTGAAGAGATTAAATACAGAATACAGGCAAAATGGGATGGGGATCCAGTCTTATGGAACCTTGACAACATATAGCATGAATGTCAAGTTTACATTTATTTAAAACTTTTTGGCCGCCCCTCCTTGTTATGACCAATCGCAGTAGAGTTACCATGCCTCTTTTCAGTCCCATACTTTGATTCTCTCATTTCCTTTTACCTAACCTGATTGGAGTTACTCCCCCTTATTACCGGTACCATAATTTTACAACTTAACACACAAAATAACTGATGTTAATAAAGTTGAAACTGGAGCAAGTAGTGTGCTATATTTAATTACTACCCTATTTATTCTTAAATTTTCAAGTAAAAGTTGTAAAATTCCAAAAACATTAACTCAGAAATGGGCCTTTATTAGTAGACCTTTCTTTTATAAGTACCCCCACCCCATATTGAAATATATATATAGCTTCTTAGTAATATCTTGTTTCAAGATTCAAGATCATTTTTGCTTAACCCCCTAACAGTCCGTCCAGGGAACCACTGCCATGCCTACAGACTTTATAAATAGTATAAAGTTAAATTTAGATTAAAGGAAAAAATCAAAGTGATTAAGTTGGGTGAGTTGAGTTCTAGGGATAACTGGGGTTTCAGAGGGCTCAATTTTTTATTGCGACTATACCCATGCGCAATACATTTTGACTCTTTCCAATGATAAGCTCTTTGTGTATGTCTTATGTATTTAAACATTCTAGTTGGACTGCCTTCCTATCTAATTGTCTCAATTGACAGTTGAGATGCGTAGTGTGTTAAAAAATACAAGACTATATGGAGAAAGGGGTAAATTTGCACTCAGTCCTACATTTTGTTTTTAGTTGCATTCAGCTCTACATGTTATTTATTTGAATAACTAAGGTCATATGTAAATAAATTTAAAAGAACAAGGTCAGTAAACGATTCTATGAAATTGGTTCTGAGTAAACTATAAAAATTCATTGGTCGATATGCTTAAATCACTTTTTGCCCTACACAACTATGGCCTTAAAATGTTTTTAACTTTAACCAACTCATCTAGCTTTATTCTAGTAGTGCAGGTAGTTTTTTGAGCTATAAATTTGGAGTTTGCATCAGTTTTCTATGCACGTTGGACTTTGTTGGATTGACCTCCCAATGTTAAGACCTAATTTTGTGCTGTTAAATTTTTATAATATATCGGTAACTTTAACTTGCCTGGGCCTGCTCGTTAAGTAATTATTTTTCAATTGCTGTTTTTAAAAAAGAATTTATCCAAAGATAATCCTAAAATAATTCTGGGTGAAATTGTTATGTAATCAGCTGCAACGCCCCTTTCTTATGTAATAACTGTTTTTGTAATAGAGAATTACAAATTCAATTTATTTTTTCTGACAACCCAGTATTTATCAAAATAATTAATTTTGTAAGAATTATTGATTAAGAACTAAGCATCCTAATAAAATAACCAAATGTGTGCTAACTGGCAGGCTTACATTGCATGGAACAGCATTCATCCTAATAAAATAACCAAATGTGTGCTAACTGGCAGGCTTACATTGCATGGAACAGCATTCATCATAATAAAAGGTCCAACTCATTTATGATTGGTACCGGTAGTGATATTGTTAATTGAGTGTCAATAGAAACTGAATGGTGGTCCAGTTGCTATAGTTAACCTTTCATTTTTTTCCTTACCAGGCTCTGATGGGCGTTTTCTTCCAGATCAGAAGTATTGCTCTATTTGAAGATGTCAGCGTGAGTGAAAGTGATTGGGAAAAGGCTAACTTCACAAGAGATTATGTCAAAGAAAAATATGAAGACAATGCTATCAACTGCTGGATTGCTGCCGGAATTTATGTCTTGCTCTTCATATTTGCTTTCATTCAGCAAAGAATGAATTCCAGAACATCGTATGAGATGTCTTAAGTCAGAATTCCACTGGGATGGAAATAAAGGGGGGGGGGGGGTGGAAGAAGATGTGATGAGGTGAAACTATTTTTAAATATGTTAGAGGAATAGTTTTCTGGATTGCTGCCGGAATTTATGTCTTGCTCTTCATATTTGCTTTCATTCAGCAAAGAAGGAATTCCAGAACATCGTATGAGATGTCTTAAGTCAGAATTCCACTGGGATGGAAATAAAGGGGGGGGGGGTTGAAGAAGATGTGATGAGGTGAAACTATTTATAAATCTGTTAGAGGCATAGTTTCAAGAAATCATTATACCTCTGAATTTTGATACCGTTAGGACAAGTGAGACATTTTTTTGTACTTCTACAATATAATCCAGAATACACACACTTTATTAATACTTTTATGGGTAAATGTATAAAAATTATTTATTACATGTGTAGAGGAAAACCAGCATCTATTTTTTCAAACCAATAGATGACTTTTCTGACCATCTTAATTGAATGTATCTGAAGAGATGGGATAATATATTTCTTCCAGCATAAGTATACATTTATTTATAATCATTTTTTTGTAGCAGTGGAACTTCTATGTTCACATCTGGAAATTATGGGGAAATAGAATAAGTTAAAAAAAGTACTTGCTTAATTCAACTGACTAAATTATATTTTAATACTTTAATATGGTGTTTTTAAACTGTTAAGCTTACAAGTTTGGCCTGTGCGGCAGTTATAATTTTATAACGGCATGAAATAATTCAGATAATAAAATAATAAATTTCATTTTTATTTACCCTTCTTTTCCTTCAGAAGTCAAAAATGGTTTGTTCTGATTTATATTAAAATTTTTTATCTGTATTAAAAATGTTGCTCTGTGGACAGCTAGGTTTCTTCATTTCACGTAAACTCATAATCAAGGCAGTTTTTTTCCATCCAGTTCTTGTACAAACGACTTTTTTGTTTTTTTCATTTATAGTGCAAATTATATTAGCCTATGAGCACTGTAAAAATCTCATCTGACAAATTGTACCTATCATTGTGAAGATGTAAATGAAACCGATGTGATATATTTTAACTTTAAGCTATTATTTGTTACATTTGAATTGTATTACTGTACTGTAGCTAAAAATAATAACTTCGATAAGAGCATTGTTGAGAGTGATTGAGTTAACATTGGGCATCATTCCTGTTAGTACTGCCCTTTAAATGTTTGTCAAAATTTTAAATGTTATAAAATGATCTATCAGCTTTCTTAGAATTAGAATGCCAAGTAAAGGACTAGTTTGAATGACAGATGTCAAGGTCAAGACTGGCTCATTTGTGTTAGAAGTGTACAAGTTAAGTACAAGTGAAAATGTCTGAGCGTGTTCATGACAAAAAGATATTTAAGGGTACATGTGATGTTTTGATTCCAGACTAACCAGATTTTTTCAAGATCATTGAATGTAATACCTTTTTTTTTGTAATGCATTTTAGTACTTTTTTTTGTGTGGTAGTTTGTTGTCAACAATTATTGGCTGCATAAGAAACTGGAAAAGGCTGAATGAGGGGAATATCAATCCTGTAACTGTAAGAATTGTTTTTGTCATAAGGTTCTTTAGTGTTTTTGTTTAGTTTTAAAATTTATGTCATGAAAATAAACTGGATACATATAGTATATAGCCATATTAAATTATAATTTGCTTTATTTTGCTGTATATTCTGTGGTCTCAAGTAAATGTATATTTATGTACGTATGAATATGAAAGGTTCAATAAGCCATAGTGAAACTTGAAATTATAATAAAATTAAAAACTTAATAAAATAAAGAATAAGAGTGGTGGATTAATTATAAATGTTATAACAAATATTATTGAAACCTACCACACCATGATGATAGTTAACGAAATTTATAAAAGTTTTATCATTGAAAAACTGCATCGCTAGATTGACTTTGGCTACAAAATTTAATGCCATTGCTACACTGCTCAAAATTAGAAATTCGTTATCTACTCTATTGCAATATATTATATGCATATCACCTATTTTAACATTTCAAAAATGACGGCTAGATGAAGGGGAACTAACCCCGACAACATACTTTTTGCCACACCATTAATTTTTGTTGTAATACAAAGTTTATCTAACTAACATTAACATACATTTGCATGCTGTCTGGTGCATTTTTTGTGAATTTTATTTTTTCACACTACTTAAAATATTGGAAATCAATCTTAAATGATTTAACTCAACTTTCTGTCACAAAATGACAATTAAAATTTAACTGTCACATCAAAAAAAAATTATTTCAAACATCGTAGTATGTTTGTGTTGGTTAAAACAGTGCCATTTTGTTTCATAGTATATTCACTATGTATTAAGATTTTGAAACAACCATTTAGTTTAATACCTGACTTTTACACCAAAAAATATATTAAAAAAGGCACATCCTTCCTAAAAGTAGCCAATAAATTTGAGATTTAAGTATTTGTATATTTCTATATGTTGCTGTTCAGAACATTCTGAGTCACCAAATATGATTTTACTCATAATTATGTTAAATCACATTTACAATTTTATAAAAAGTGACTGTTAAGAAATGTCTAAATAAATTAATGGAACAAATTTACATTTGGTCACCATCATACTTGATTTTATTAACAATGATTACAACATTTTTAAAAATTAAAATCCTCCAAAATTTAACTCTTAGTACATACTGCACAAAGTGTACAAATTATCAATACAGCTTTGAATGACCACAAACATTTGTTTACAATTTACAATAATCAATGAGATATAATGGCAACATGAATGCAAACTTTCCTAAATCATTAATAAAAATTTCATTAAAAAAATTCATGACAACTATAATATATCGGTACTTACTATTACTAGATTGATTAATGATGGAAAATTTTCTAAGAACTGAACAATATCAGCATTCTGGGAGCAAATATATGCAGTAAATAAAGTGCTGTAAAAGAATTAAAAAATTTCATCCCTTTACAGCTTTGGGGGCCCTGCCACAACTGTTAGGAAGCCCAACAACATATGTAATGGAGTAGACGCCCGGCCGTACCAGGACATGTGGTATAGCAGACCAACATAGACATATCCATCAATTGTTGCATTAAATTAAATAACCATCCTGTCCCTTCAAGTATTTAGATAAGATATGCATCTCTCTAGCCATAGCAGTGATTCCTGAAATCTACCAGAACCCCCAAATTGCTTGCTGATGGTGGTGAGAAACTGCTGTAGACGCTGGTAGCGTTCGAGCACGTCAAAGCCGCACGCGCGCTGGACCTTACGCAGGCACACTGGGCATAAGAACAATGGCTGTGATAGTGCCTGGGTGACGCTTGAGCTCTCATTCATGGCACACAAGAAAAACTGGCAGTGCTGAAGACCTAGGAGGTGGCACACTTCATGACTTAGTGACTGTGAACAAAGAAATTAGAATATAATCAACTTATCAACTAACTGGAGGCTTTCAGCAATCACATTTACATTATCAGCATTTTTAATGGAGCACAAAACCCATACTGGTTGATTTAACAATTTTTTTTTTCAATTTTAAAACTAGCCATAAAATCTGATCAAACCAGTCTCGCCTGTACACATAGATATAATATAATAATCATGCTGGAAAATCCTTACAGATTCTGGAACAGATGAATTTTCATGCCTCTAAAATGAAATTTTGTACGTTTGTTATAGGATTGGTGTGGTTAATAACTAGTCTGATGAATGTCTCTAATTGATATATTAGAATATAAAATGCAGTTAGATTAGATGTTTGGTATCTAAATTGTTATAACAGTAGTTCAATACAAAGCTTTTCTTCATGTGTCGACAGCCAGAAGGCTTTTCAGTGATATAAAAAGACATTTTCTTGGATAAATCTTTGGCTATTCTCTCAACTGCACTAATTACAATGAAGAACAAAAAAACTTATTTTTGTATTCTACTGCACATCGATCGGTGGTTTATAATTTCTGCTAAATTGAGTCCAAATTTGAATTCACATTGTTGTGTAGCATGTCAGGATTCTAATTTATGCAGGTTCTAGTTAAAATTATGTTTTTTTATTACCATATGCATAAAAATTACTAGGTCTGTATTCCCTTCTATAACAGTGTGACTAATTCTGTGACCCGGCGTAGTCATAACATTAAAAAATTTTAATTTTACTTTTTATAAACAGAAATCAAAATTAATCTATTTCCAATATAATGTTTCTATTACCCTTGCCAAAACCGCTAAAGCTAGGTTCACCCCAAATTGAATTAAGGGACTATATATCCTTTGGGACTCTATCATGTCATATGCTTAGGGCGTGTGTTACTCTACTTAACAATGGTGATTTTATTAATATTATTAACATTTCTTGAATGCATGCATTATTTAAAATCTAGATGTGCTAGGAGGTTCTGACATTGTTTTTGGAATCAGCGTATTAAAGTACATACAACATATATGTTTTACTTTCTAAAGCAAAATTAATCTTGACCAGTGTTATTTAAATAAAGCAATAAACAGTGATAACAAGCTCTTTAGAGTCCACAATTATGGCAGTTAGCACCATGGCGAATTATATTTTCAACATCAACCTTTCCCAGGACAAAGTTAAAACCATATCCCTATCAGAAACCTTATGGCATAGAAAAATCATTATGAATTATGAGGTTGATGTGATATTTTTGAATGAGCTAAACTTAACCACTCTGCTGAACCTCAATATATGGTTAAATTCTTTAGTCTTTTACTTTTTTCTAAATTTGTATCAATAACGGATTACCCCTTCATCTCATATCTTTTGATATTTTAGCTCTTTACCTCATTAAATCATGTTATTGGTATTTGAATTTTGTTAGCAATAATTGATATTTCTTTATGCATGTGTGGTTATGTATTACAATATATATAAACATCTATTAAGTCTTTCAGACATCATAAAATTGAGAAAAATACAAATTGCTTTCCCATAATATAGACAACCGTATTCAGTACATCTATTGTCTCCTTCTTTTAGAATTTGATTTAGCATACCTTAAAAAGCTTCCAAAGTACTTGGTCATCAACCTTTGTGATGTCGGCACACGAATCGTCATTCTCAAACCTGCCAAAGCTGACCACAGCCGACTTGTGCTGAAACGAAGCCTCCCCCAAAACGAAGTTGAACCCTTGAGGATACAGGTCAGTCCAGATAAGGCCTGCAACACACAATCCATCAGGGGGCAGACTGGCTTGGAGAAGTGGGAAAAAATCATTTACACAAAACTGCATCTGGCCTGTTGTTGGATTTATTCTTGAGGACAGATTCCAGCCACTGGTTCCTATTGAAATGGGAGGGCGCACCATGACTTCCAGTCCCAGAAAGTAGATCTGGGCGAATCCCAGCAAAGTTTCAAATAGGTCCAAACTCAGATGAGGTGTAGCTAATCGGAAACTTGTTACAAATTCTGGGAAATGATCGATAGGCTGCAGGTAAATTGTTCGCCGCTTGGGTAAGCACAGAAAGTAAAAGTTGTTCAGATCTTGAGCTGCTCGCCACTGTATGTAGGTCTGTCCTCGGTAGAGAGGAGAAGACTTTCTCATGGGTGTGAACAGGCTACAATCAGATGGGATAGCAGTTGATCTGGTATCACTAGTCAGTTCTTGATCAGAAGAATCTTCAGCAAGGCCTATAAAATTATTTGGGATAAAAAAATATATTTTAATTACAAGCTAATAGAGTTTAAAACAATATTAAATACCCACTCAATAAAATCCTTTGAAAGAAATTCAAAGTTGACTGCATATCATCCATGTATTATGTGATTGTTTAACACCTATCCTATATACTATATGACTGTTTAAAAACAAAATAAGATTGAATAATGTAGTTAAGTAGTCACATTTTTTTTGTGTGGAAATTTCAATAATCAATATTTGTCCACAAGCATCAGATGGGCGAAATGTGGGGGTGGAAAAAAACAATCACATGAAAAATATATTAAAGAAATTTTGAATAAACAGTCTTACAAAATTCAATCTTCCTTCATGCAATTCTCGCCCATCATTTTTATTTTGTGTGAAAACAACTAGCATGTAACCTGCATATTGAAACCAAACCCCCTTCTCCAATGATCCCCTTCTCAAAGCTGTATTTTATTTCCTTACTTATATTCCTTCACATATTTCTTTTTTCATGAATACCTTTTGCCTAGGACATTGTAAATCTGTAACTGCAAACTTATAAACACCCAAAAACCTTCATTGATGATATACAATTATTATGGACATCTCAATCAGAATGGCAGAGGACAACACACACCTCCCAAAGCTAAAAAAAATACATTGCTATAAACAAAATTCCCACCACAGCAACGTAGTACCGGTACAACACAACAAGCATCATGTCACATCAAAAAAGTCTTAGAGGTCATGTAAATATTAATCACAGGGTGCTAACAATAGTGTTTTCTCCCTTTCCTATTTGAGAGATGTATTTCAACTCTTAAAATTTGCATAGTATTACAAACTATATTATCATGTATGTTTTTTTTAAAATTGTTTTAGAAACTACACAAAAAATTAACCCTTATAACCTGAATAAAGTAAAACAATAATTAATTTTTTCACTTCTTTTTTGCAGAAGCGATTGATTTTCCTTTTTTATAGAATTTGTTACAATTCACTTTTTAAACATTACTTTTAAGTGAAAGACGAGAGGCAAATTAGAAATTTCTTTTTATTATCTTAACTGAAATTCTAAGTAAAGATATTGAATGTTTAAGGTATCTTTCATAGTAATATCAGACTTACCGGGCTGATTAGGGGCTAAAGGTTCAAACAAAGAATTGAACCCTTCGTGGTCACTAGATTTTGAGGAACCTGTTGTCAAATACAATTTGCTCAAGTTGTACAACTTCTGAGCAGTTGCTGGTACTTTCTCCAGACTCCCTAGTGCACAAATAGAAGTTAATTTAAAAAGCTAGATTAATTTTAATTTGTAACATACCAGTTATTGTTAAATGAATACTCAAAGAATTTATAAAATTAAATGATTAATACAATTATAATAATAATAAAAAAAAAAATGTTTTCCATTGTCAAGTGCTATGAAGCCATTATGCTATTGTTAATAATTGTTATGCAGCTGCTTGCAAAGGGATTATATTATAATCCTATACATTAGAGCAACAAAAAATCCAGAAATAAACTCTCAGATTAAAAAAAAAATAGCACAGCTTTGTTTCATCTATCAATACAATTACCCCAAGATAAAAGTAACGGCACCTATTAAGAACTCAAAATCTTTTTTAATATGCTCAGAGTGGCACTTATGAGAACTCCCAGCTCTTTCAGCACATGCGTGTTCAGTATCTAAACTGGCTGGATACTTCACATCATTAAGGCAGTAGCCAGTTTGAACAACGTCTGAATGCCCAGCTTCACTTTGATCTGATCCAGGCAACAACTTTGAGTTTTTTAATTCATCATCACTTGCACTGGCATTTACTCCCATGGCTTTAGTGTTTACCGGTAATTGTTTTCACCTGTGGGAATATTTAGAAAATTAGGGAGGATTTCATTTTGTTTAAGAATCTCACAAACATTAATAATGTACTTATTTCGTTTCTCAAATACATGTACTTATTTACACTAAGTGGATTGCTGCCTAAGTTAGTCTAAGTTATCATTTCACAACTGGTAGGAAGCCGACCCAGGACTCTGGCCTAAAAATTTACACAACTGGTGGTCAAAAAGAACTTTTAAAAACCAATCAAACAGATCAATGTATAATTTATTTAAACTGATGCAGAAAGTAATAGTGATAACGTTAGAGTTGCAGATATATCTGGAACAGACTATAAAATTACTACCGTACTGTTAAACATCTGTATATAATAATAATAATATTAGTTGACGAATGTGATCATGGTCATTGTCAGTGAACTTTGTATAATGAAGTGATAGTCAACTTCAGATATTATAATCTAAAGGTTTTTCTCTAACAATTTTAATTCTTAACGTGAATATAACATTCATTCAATTTGATATTAAAAAAAATTTAAATAATGACATGTCTCCTTTTATTTTTTTTTTAAAAAGAGTTATGTCATTTTACTAAGGCAGTGGGGGCAAGTTTTTGGTTAAGTAGATTAGGCAGGGGAGAAAGTTTTCATTTAACTCTTTGCTGGGGAAATTTTTTTATCGAAAAAATTTACATTATTTTTCAAAGAGCAAAAAAGAATGAAAGATGGGGTTTATTAAAAAAGTATTTAAAATATTATTTTTTGGTTTATAAGACTAAACTTGGTATCAAATGAAAAATAATTAAAAGGACTTTATGTTTTAAACTTATTTCTTCAGTTTAAATAAAATAAGTTACAGAAAAGAACCATAAAATGTGAAATCATTAGAAGCTAAACAATTTTTTCCCCCAAATCATATGATGTATGCATACCTCATCTTCACTTCTATAACTCAAATCCTCTAAAACTACTACTATCGGAATCATCCGATGGATCTAAAAAAAATCATCTTCACTATCAAAAGAAATAGTATAAAACAATTCCAAAGCTTTTTGAGCTGTTAATCATCAAGGAAACTTATTCACCTATTAGGGCCTAGAGCAGCCATAGCAACAGTAGAAAAAAATTGTTAAGAAAAGTCTTATTTAAAAATAGCTCTTAAAAAGATTAACCAAGAAATAGCAAAGAAACAAACACGATATTGAAACAACGCAGAGCGCGTTGGTCCCTGCTTTTGAGAACGGTGGATGAACGCAGTGTACGTTGTTCCGCAGCAAAAGAGTTAAGTAGGTTGAGGAGGGGAACAATTTTTATTTAAGTAGGTTAGACAGGAGTCGGTTAATTATTAATACGGGACACATTTAAATAGTTTTTTTTAAAAATTAGGTCTTGTCATGAGCACCATTAAGATGAAAATTTCCTGGAGCTGCTTCACCCATAAACTCTTATATTGATAATTGGATGACTTGATTCTTTGATTTTAAGTGAAATAATTCTCATTGGCATCCTCCAAGCTATGTCACTGGTCGATTCACTGTACTTTACTAAGTACTGTCCAAATTCATGATGGCAATCATCTGTCGATTTTAGTTCTATGGCATTAGAACTAAATGCAAATCATAACTAAGTAGATCTGAATTTCACTTTCTTTCCTTTCAGCTCGATACTTATTTGAATTTAAATCTCACTTAAGCCCTTTGCCTTTACTAGTACTAACATTTATTAGTCCGGTGCGCCAGAAAAATACTGTGGGAGATATACGTCCGGACGACTAGTAGACGTTATTATTCCAGAAAATCATGTGACAAGTGGTCACAGGCAAAATAGTTGCATTGCATTTGATATTCCAATATTGTGTATACATCTATTAGTCAGTCGATCCCTTGATAATAAATAAATGCTAAACATGTTAATATATTCAAATGCTCTGAGATACATATAGTATTTGACTTTGAATATTAAACTAGTCGGCCTATATACAAGCTAGTAGTAGGCCTATTATTACTACTACAATTACTAGTCTATTTGATTCCAACTCTTCAAAGACCTATGTCAATAAAGTTGTATTTCAGGATTAGTATTTAGTATTGCATGAGAAGTAGGCTAGGCTATGACTATATCGGCTCTATATTAAGATGTAGGGTCTATTTCTTTGTGAACTATTGGCCTCCCTGCCTTAAACTTAATTATTTATCACCCTCACTATTATTTTTTTAGCATTCTTATTTTTTATTACTGTAATTCTCTCTCCCTCTCAGCCTTGCTTCCTTCTAGAATGCATTATTGCTTAACCCCCCTTTGTTTTGGTAATATACCTATTTTTTTCTATTATTTGTTTGCAAGATACTCAGTAAATTACTTGGTAGAGAAATAGATTTTAAAATTAACAATAGTTTTGAATCATTCACGGTCACGTGAAAAGGCTGACGGACAAATATCTCACGCCACTTTGTTACGGCGGTCATGTGACTTGGTCGCTGGACAAATATTGTATACGTCCGGCGAGTCGGATATGTAGACACTTGCTACTTATATTATTTAGGTTTATAACTATATATATGCCTATTGACACATTGATCTATTAATTTTATTTATATTTACGTTGAATAAATGAGATAAGGCAAAATTTATCTAGTCTTGGCCTAGGCCTCTAAATCTAAATGGACTAAATTATTATTTTAAAAAATTGTTTTAATACTGGTAGGCTATCTATATGAAATATAATTACATTTCAATTTCAATGACTCATCAAATCAATTAAAAATTTATTCATGTTTTTTTTCTTTCTAATTAAAAGGATTGATTATGATTATGCCTATGAATTAAGAATAAGCCTAAGACTTAATTAATTAAATCATTTATTTTTATCATTATGTGTTGACAGTTGACTTGAGTGAAATCAACAAATTAAGTCTGTAGTATTGGCTTTTTTAAAATCTTAATTTGCTTTATTTTCATAACTTGATGAGAACGGTCAAGGAAACTGGAAAGTAATCTAATTATAATAATAAAAGTATAAATAGTTAATACGCAGATCAAAAAAATATTCAGTCAAAAGAATAAGAAGGCGTAGTAGGAAATCAATTTTGAATTTTTTTTTCTGACACTAAACATTTGGTGGAAGAAGAATTAACTTGTCTTTGCGAATGCACATCGGTGTAGTATTTATATATTCGCCACTAGACAAGCCTACATTCAATTATATAAAAACAGCATCAATTACCGTATTCAAGTGACAAGTAATTCTTAAGCCAGATTCAGATTGTTAGTGTCTTGGAGTTTAATACCTAACCACTTTCTTGTCTCCAAAGCTGAAAATAAATAAAATTTTCTAATCTTCGAAAATGAAGAAGCATACATTTTTAAAAAAATAAATGAATAAATTTAACGGAGTGGCTACAGGTACCTGGTCACGTGCAGGGCTACCACACCTTGGGAAATTTCCCAAGATCTTGGGAATTCACGACCCCCCTTGGGATCTGGGGAATAATTTTGAAAATCATGCAAAACCTTGGGAAATCTTAACTGGGGGGGGGGAAATTTTGTTATATTTTTTCGAAAAAAACGCAACAATATCTGATAAAAAATAAAGTAAAAATAAAGCAAAATAATTTTTAAAGTAACAAGGCAAAAAATTAATTGTTTTCATTTTCTTTTCTGGTTTTAATTTTTAAATCCACTCATAAAATAAATAAAAACTCTTCTGATTTTAAAGTTAATATTGTGAATTATTAAAAAGTTAATAATTTTAAAAAAAAATTCAATTTTCTCTTTAAAAAAAAAAATTGAAGATTTACAAATTACATCCAGGTTTTGAATGTTTATTAAATGGGGGGGGGGGGGGCTCGGAAACTTTATCATTATGCTCTTAGACATTAGCAACCATACGAAAAACAGTACAAGCCAAAGAGTGAACGATAGTGTTCAATCAAGAATCCATGCCATAGTAGAATTTTATTATTTCAATTACTTCTACAATGTGTTCAAAATATAATGCATCTGTAAAAAATCCAGCCTAATTTTCATCAATTAGAAAAAATATTTGTGGATTGAAACACGGGTAACTAAGATATTAATAGTATAGGCAGTATAGGCCTACGTTGTAGGATTATAAATGAACAATTCCTTTAAAAGTATTTTTTTTTTGGTGAAAAAATCGTTATAATGTAAATTTTACAAGAAAAAATAAAACACTTATTGTTTTCATCGTAATATCAATCCATTTTAACTACAATTATTATTAATAAATTTTGCTTAATTGCTTTGCAAACCCCACTTGTAATCAACAGATTTACAATAATAAAAAATCATTTTTTGATGAAGAAACTTTTGCCTTTGTAAAAGGAATTCTGTGTTGATTAGCCTTGTATGCTTTTTTTTTCCAAGTGACTTCTATTACACATGTATTGTAGATTATATTTTTATCAGAGAATTCGGAGGTAATATTTAGTAGCCTAACTCCAGTGGGTATTGATTTTTTGGATTATAAATTATTTTTTTAAAAACAAATTGTTTTTTTTAAAATGTGACAACATGTTTTAAATGTCTTTTTCAATAAATTTCAGTCCATTAATATACCATGTTTTTCAGGGGCATTGATTCAATCTATTATTACATTATTTACATAGAAAACCCCCCTTTAAAAAAAAAAACTCTTATATATTTGTATGATCTTGGGAAATCTTGGGAAATTTGTTCACCAAATCTTGGGAAATTTGAAAAAAGTGAGTGGCAGCCCTGGTCACGTGAGGTCTTTATAGATTCGGTTGGTGACGGTCATGACGGATATTTCCTTTTGGTTAGCCATCTTAGACCCATGCCCATTATTATCAATCGAAAAATGTGCCATATTTTGAAGACGTTCACTTAGCGTTAAATTACGGTTAAAGAAACACGAAGATCAATGTGACGTATAGCTAAAAGCAAGTAAGAATACGTTTATGTTGATAATTTTATTGTATTTTTTAATTCTATTTTAAATATAGTTCCATACATTTACATTAACATGACATCACACAAGATTCAATATCAGTTGCTTTTTTTTTTTTTGCGGCAAATCGGCTACTGTATGTAATTGTAATGAAAAGTTTGGCTGCGGTCAGAAGTGGATACTTCAATTTTAATTCACCGCAAAAATTATTATTATTCACACTTTCCATAAAATAAATGTTCTTTTGAATAAAAAACAATTTGGAGAGATCAGCCCGCGGCCGCCATCTTGGTTATCGTGACCCACGAACTTATATATCCTAAATGTATCCCTAAACCTAACATGAACCCTAAAATGTATCCCTAAACCTGATAAATCTGAATTAGCTTGAAAAACGTTTAATTAAAAAATTATACATTATTTCACATTTCCATTAAAACACTTCACACTTCCAATAAAACAAATGTTATTTTGAATAAAAACATACTTGCTTCTTTAAAGGTTCTCCGCTACTGTAGTGGCCAAAATTGAACAATATCGTCTAGAATGGCGTTGAAGACATTAAAACCATTTACTTTAACACGTTGACCACACATGAACTCACACATATACAAATCGAGCATATGTCTGTGTGCCGTTGTGGCGCTTGTTTCTCTCTTTTGCAGATTTCCACAAACGTTCGATGCTTTTGGTATTTGCTATTGGCACCTGAGTTTGGATCCAAAAACTTAACAGAATGAATGACCGTTTGATGAGTCAATCTAGGAGTGGTGCCAATTGCATTATATGCTTTCCATTGATCTGACACGACTGTTGTGCCCAGCGGGATGTGTGCTGTGATTATCGGCATAAGTGTAATGTGTAGCTGCTGATCTATCTTGTACACAAAACATGAAACACTCACTAATCTCCTGACAAATGCTTCCAGAGACCCATTGTTGCGGCAAAACTTGCCCGACATGATTTTTTTCTGCATGTAAAGAGACTCGTCGATTTCAACTGATGGCTTACCAGTGTAAATTATGTCAATTTTATGATGGAGGAAGCATGAATGGATCCTAACACATGTGTTTTGGGAAATAAGGCCCATGGAGGCCCTTTAGACACCCCTGGCACAGAGTTCTACTCCTTTTCCTGGCCTCGGGGTACTTTTCGGTTGCTTCAGACAGAGGGATCCTTTTCACCATTGTGCATCCAATTATGGTTTATTTGAGCTGGGTGTTACTGAGAAAGTTGTCTGCATACTTATTAGTTATTATTATTCTCTCTCACAAACATTTTAATGATATATTGTGTAAAAATTAGCATAAGTACTCAAATGGGATGCTTATCCCATGGGGCACTTTTAAAGGCTCTAATCCTAATCCAAGGATTCACAACATTATCGTAAAAAAAATCATTTTGGTTGTCTTCATTACTTTCCTGATTGTTTTCGTCAGTGTCAGATTCTCTGCTAGACAGCGAGAGATCAAGAGGGTTAACGAAAAAGCTTTCGAGTGACCAGCTCTTTTACCAGCAATGCTGTTAGTACATGAATTTCAAATATCCTAGTCCAGAGTTTCCCAAGCGTTTTGGGGTCACAGTACCGCTGCTGCACCCACGTCTTTTCAATTTTGCTCTAAGCCACATTCTTTGTGCACTGTAAAATAGCACTTTTTAAACAATCTAATCCATTTTTTAAACCTTATACTTACAAAAGAAGACATACCTCATTAACTTCACTTGACTCTATCAAAACAATATTTAATTGATACAGCATAGACGCTGCACAAAACCAAATGCTACTTTAATAAGTAGGCCTACAGAGTACCAAGTAGGTGGGAGAACTAGTGAAAAATACCAACTTAATTATAAATGGCTTGCATTAAGTCCATTAATTTTTTAACACTTCAGGTTGCAGCAGGACACAGTCTGGGAGCCTCTGTCCTAGTCAATTACATGCCATACTAAACACATATCTTTACATTTTCTCTTAACACCTAGCATCATCCTAATCCCCCTTCCAATAATAAATATTAGTATCTTGATCCTTTGAATGCCCTTTATGTAAAGATAAATCCCGCTAGTGCATGTAAGAAATATCAAAAGACTATTGGAACGGTTAGTTTCCCTGATTAGGTTAGGTTGAAGTCTTGCACATTCCTAATTTAGTTAAAATTGGATAAAAATCCCTAAAAAAATCTAAATTTCCTTCTGACATATTGAGTGCATTTTTGCTGTAAAAGAAATAATTAAAAAATGCAAAAGAGATATTTAGATGGATTGCTTCTTATATTTAGGTTCATCTGTCGCTATAGCATACATTTTTTTGGTTAAAATCATAGTAGTAATAATCAAGAGTTACATCTTGCAGGTTAGAATTATATTACCATTGATCTGTGACAAAAAATCTTATTTAAATTTTTAAAGATTCTCTACTGAGTCTACTGTAATGCAGTTGTAGTTAAAATCTTACACTGAGCTTGACATTACCATTTTGAAGGTTTTCTTTTGTTCATTTAACACCACCTCCCTAAATACTAAAGAGCTTGAATTTAAAGAGCGTGAATACTCACTAATTCCAGTGGTTGGAATTTAACTATTTAAAAGATTAAACAAACAAAGCTATTCAACTTTCCCTTTGATAACCAAGAATTTTTTGTTCCAACACCCATGCAAACATGGCTGGTGTAAAAGCAATGATTACACCAAGTGTGTGATTAATTTTTTGGGTACTTTTTATGATGGTAACTTTCAGGTTAAAATTGTTCCTAGGATATTGTCTTCATATTAATGCAAGCTTGCGCTCTAATATAATAAAGTTTCTGTCTTCTCCTAATTCATGTGTTATTTTACTTCCAGGTTAAAGTTGTTGTTTTCACAGAGATCACTTGAAGACCCCCGTCACTGCCAGAATTCATAGCTGCTCTTATGATGAATGTGCAGAAGGAATCATGACATGCCAGGACAATGACTGGTCAACATTTTACTTCAGGTAAATACAGTCCTTTTTATTCTATTTATTTTTCATTACCTATGCCACTAATTGAAAAAAATATTTTTTTTTAATTGTTTTACATTTTAACTTGATGCTTGATTTATCACACTGGGTAATAATCTTGAGGTAACTTGCCATTATTGGGATCTTGGAAATTTATTCCCAATGGATCATAAGCTGACCACAATCTTAGTTTTGGCCAGGAAAACCCTGAAAAGTGTGTACTCTGCTTATTAGTGTACTCTTTCAGTTTTGGCTGGGAAATTATTTTAAAGGTTTTCATCGAAACCTTAAAAATAATTGCTTATTAAAAAGACTTAAAACTATTAAACATTCAGTATCATGTATAACAGCGATTCACTTCACTTTTCTACATATATATACCGTAACCACACTGAACAGAATCAGTCATATGCTCACACACAGACACAATCTTATTGTTTTCTATAATAGAATCAATGTACCTAGTGAAAACCTCC